CTGAGCTGTACCCCAAGCCTCAGTCTAGGACTTTGAATATTTACCTACATATTTCCTTTCTGTATCATAGTAACTGGAATTGTGACACATTATCTCCCTGTTGTCAAAATTTGACCTGAATTATAAAATCCATTTTTATTCCTATTACTTATCAGTTTGTTATGTAAACATGCTTTAATTTACTTGTGAGTTGAATCACTTAAATACTTTATAACTCTAAGTACAAGAGGTTCTCTGGACTTAAGAGGGGGCTCTTCCAGAGGACCTGGGTTTGATTCCCAGCACCCATATGCTGGCTCACAACTATCTGTAACTCCAGTTTTAGAGGACCTGAATACTCTTTGACCTTGATAGGCAAACACCCATAAAATGAATTAAACATAAATGTTTAAAAAATAGAAGCCCGCTATACTTATCCTGTGGCATTCTATGTCTATGAAAATGGGTATTCTAAGGGACCCCTGCTCCTCCAAGTACCTTGGCTGCTTGACAGCCCATGCCAACACCTAGAACTTGATAATAATGACTATTTATTATATTTCATCTTTCGAGGACCCATGAATTAGTTCAGAGTTCTGCCGGGTGGTACTTCTGTCCAGTGCTGTGGGTTATCTGGTTGGAGGATCCAGCCCCATTCAAGAGTTGGAGAGCTGGCTGCATTGGCTCATATGGTGCTCCATTTCCATCTCCCCAGCATGGTCAGTCTTACAGATAATGGACTTCTTGATGGTTCAGGGAACTTGAGACTATTACTAAAAGTTGCCAGGCATCTTACAACTTTACCCAGGAAGATCTAAAGAATCTTTGACTGAGTTCTAGTGGCCAAGCTAACTGCTAAGCCCAGTCTTCACAAAGAAAAGAGAATTTGAGATTGCCAGTTAGCACATCTGTTTTGGAAAACATAATTCTCAACACTCAAAAAGTGTCCTAGAATTAGATCAAATAACTATATTGATATATGCACTGATTGCCTTTTTGGGTGATTCTTGCCATGTTGAATTATTGACCTTTGGCTTGGATTTGTGCCGTTGCTTACGGCTCTTCTATGTTACTCTAGGATATAAAGGGCTCTGTGAAATGTTCAGGCATTATGCTAGCCTGCCTCTGTTACCTAGCAGAATCCACTCAGGCAGTACCCTGCTCAGCCCAGGGTTCCATGGGAACTAAGTCTGCTCGAAGGTGCAGAGGACCCCTTTAAAAAACAGGCCCCGCCCACTTACGCTCTCTCTACTTTTCTCCTCTTCTCTTCTCTCTGCTTCTGCTTCTCTTCTCTCTGTTCTTCTCTTATGCTCTGTCTGCCTCTCTGTGACTACTGGCCATGGCGGTCAGCCATTAACCCTGTTCCTCTTCTCTCTTAGTCTCTCTACTCTGCTGGGCCTATAATAAACTGGTAAATATGTCTCTTAGTCTCACCTCTTATCTTGTGTCTCATCCTGTGCCTCTTCTTTCTTTCTAGTTTAAGCAAAAGAATAACACTTTGAAATTC